TTTTGTACAGTCGGGGGTCCTCAATAGCGGTAGGTAGGGACAAGGGGTTTTGGTGCCGCTTTAGAGGGCAGGGCCGCTTTTCCTTTTGGGGATTTGTTTTGAGAAATGCATTTGTGCCAAGGGATTTTGGGGCCGCTGTAGGGGGCATTCCGCTTTTTGGGGGGCCGTTTTTGGGGCCCCCCGACTTTTCTGGGTAAGGGTAAGCCCCCCCCTCCCATGGAACGCTCCCATGGGATGGGGGGGTTTCCCCCCCAGCAGCCCCTGGTTTTTTTGGGGGGAGAGGGGGGGGGTTTAGGGTTTTGGGGGGGGATTGATTTGTTTTGATTTCAAGGGCTTGCCCCCGTTTTGTAAGGACCATATTTTTTTGCCCTCGACCCTAGTACTGTTTTGACATGGGACTTTCAGGGACGTTTTTCCGAGGGTGTGCGCTGGGCCCCCCCCCCCCCCTGCAGAACCTGTTGCTGGTTTAGCTTAAACGAGGCGTGCTGCGTGTCTTTTTTTACCTGTAAGATATATATATATATTGTTCGTTGTTCCCTAGCGCTGGTGCTGGTGCACCTTTTTCTTGAAACATGTCCAGCTTTTGCACTCTTGTGTTTTGTTCTCTTTTTTTTCTCTCTTTCGGTGGGAATCGACAACAGAGGGACCCTTGGGGTGGTCTGGCCTTATGTTCTTATGTTTTCATATCTGTTTTATCGTTGTTCCGTGGAACATCTCACGGGTGCTCTACACGCCGCTCGCATTTAAATCCACACTTGTCCGTGCCCTACCGTGTTGCTTACGCGTGACGTAATTTGCCGGCTTTCTCGCGAACCGGTGTTCTGCATGGGGGGGGGGCGGGTATGGAAAATGGGAGGCACATATATTTGTCAGCGCTCTTTGCTGTGTATGGCAACCGGATAGAGATGACGATGGTTTTGTTGTTGTGGGACCCGAGGATGTTCACGCGTGGCGACGTTCGGTTGCGTGGTTGCATGCACAGCTTCTTAGGGGTGCTACATGTAAGATGGGTGGTCTACAGGGATGTTTTGCTGTACTACCGTTTAGGATAGTCTGTTCTTGACTTCGCTTCCAAATGGAGAAATTGACTCCGCTTCCCGTTTTTTATATTTTATTGTATTGTGATCCAGGCCCATCGCACTTGTTGCGAGACACACTATGCCGCTAGGCGCTTGGGTTTGCTCACCGATGGTAGGACTCACCCTCTAGGTATTTTTTTGAGTTTTTTTTTTATTGGTTTTGGTACAGAAGTAGCTTCTTCTGGTCATGTTTTTGCAGCCAAGGAAGTTCGTTCGTTGGCCTTCGAAGAGCGTCGAAGAGGACGAGATGTTGTGAGGATCGGAATGGCGATTTTTAAAGTCAAGTGCATAACAACTTAACAACGAATTACCGAAGATCTTTTTTCTCAAATACATGGTGGACGAGCGGGCAGGAGGGTCGACGACGATTGCCGCACCATTATCGTGAAATTGAAGGTACAAGCACCTCAAGGGGATAGAAATATAATTTTGCGTGACGTTGACACGTGGCTCCCGAGAGTTGAGAAGCCCAATGGTAGGTGCGGTACGTGATACTACTGCGAGCAATGGCGGTCGTAGGTAGAGGATGGTTGAAGCACCCGCCAGTGACAAACTTACAACGAACAGCTAATGTGCATCGCGGTCACAAGGCCCCTCGTGATTACACGACTCAAGTTGGCATGCAGTGCACTAGTCTTCGGCAACAGGGCAACTAACAAACGACATTTGGTTTAATTCCGGACAATGAAAAGATCGAAATGATCCTCATTCATTCATGTGAAACTCCAACACACGAGACTTCTTCCGTGCTCGCATGCGCTTCACTATGGCGCAGCGAACCCCAAGAGTTCCAACTCGTAGATCAAGGTGGCGTTCGCCGGCACTATCGGAGGGTAGCCGTTCATCCCGTACCCGTAGTCTGGCGGTACGGTCAACCGTATCTTCTGGTGAACGCTCATCTGCAAGGAGAGAGAAGATTCAGATAGAGACAGAGGGAGGGAGAGGAGAGAGAGGAGAGAGAGGAGAGGGAGAGAGAGAGAGAGAGAGAGAGAGAGAGAGAGAGAGAGAGAGAGAGAGAGAAACAGACAGGCAGAGAGATAAGAGAGAGATAAGAGAGAAAGCCCGGGAGGGGGGGGGGAGGGGTTGAGAACACACGCACTCACAGACGCCTGACAATACGCGAGCGATTTATGAACAAAGTCGGTTTCGTTCCCGTGGATACAAACCAATGTTATCTGTCCTTCACGTGTAGAAACGACCCCCCTGCATGGCACCGTGAAATCTCATATATACACCTGCAGTTATGTGTAGTTGGGAGCCGGTCTAGACTAAATACTTGAAGCTTGCCTTGTTTCAGAGGAGTAGCGACTCAAAGGGAACGTACACGCTCGCACACGTTAGCTTGGTACTTAGTGCGATGATGGCTTAGTCCTTGTTTGGCTTGTAAAAGCACGTACGCACCTTGGGGAGAACCTCTTCCCACCCTGAGATGAGTAGATGTTTGATATTGTCGCAGCCGCAAGATATGCGCCCCGAGAGCCGAGAGCGAGAGAGAGAGCGAGAGAAAGAGAGAGAGAAAAGGTAAGCCCAGACGACAACGAATGTATCACATATGAATGAACTATCGTGTGCGCTGAATCTTACAGGTAGGTGCTTGCTTGTGCTGCTGCCGGCTTGTATACTCCAAGCGAGCCAGAGGCTCATCATTCGTCCTTGCGCCATCTACATGTACATGTATAATGTGTACAGAAACATGTTCTGAGGGGAGGGGGTTCAACACCGGTGAGCAAACCGCGCTGTTCGAGTCCACTATTGGGTTGAGGTTATGGAGCTTTCAATCTGCTCCATCAAAGATGTCCAAGTTTGTGCCAATCATACACACATGACTGTACCTCTCACCTCTGATGAGTTGTCCAAGCCCGATCTTGCACTGGAGGGGTGCGTGTCTCGCATGGCTTGAATCAAAAACTGAATGGTCTGTTTCCAACTTCGGGAGATTTCGACGGGGGGAATCGGGGCGGGGGTTGCTTTGACGACATCAACCTAAATACTCACGGTCAGCGAGAAGTGGCACTGTGGTTGCCACACGCGCAGATCGCTATGTAGAGAGTACCAAACCGGCATGATCTTTGCTGGTGTATGCAAGTCAACGCGCATATTTGTCGTGTGTGACCGGGAGCAGTAGCTGCCTCAGCATCCGAAATGCATTGATTCGTGGTAGTAAATGCATTGCGTCCACTGTCCTTGGCGAGCGGAGCGATGGTGACATGCCCTGCCCGGCCCAAGTTTATGCTACTGAATTTATTACCTGTGTTCATTAGCGCGTCGAGCAGGGGACGGGGAACACAAGCGACCCCATCCGCTCTGTCTTCTGGTGGTACAGAAAGAAACAACGCAGTCTAGGCTAAATAAGGACTGAAGCTGCAGATTCCAGCGTATATAGGCTGACCTTTCCGACGTAGTGGACGCTCACTGTGTACCCCTTGCCTGGGAAGTGGGTTGCATCGCTGGATACCGTAGCACCACCCCCCGAAGGCAGTAGGCAACACGCGTATCACCCGTTAGTGTGGAAAGATGTTGAGCACAGGCGACACCAATTCAAGTTCAATTATTGTTGTCACTTTGATCTATCGCGCTCTTCCATTCGTCATCAGCATGGCTGTCGTGTTGACACAACCTCGGGAGTGGACGGTCGCGCGCCGCTGGTGAACGCTTCAGGACGAAAATGCACATCGAGATGGCAGTGGGTGGTGTACCTAAGTAAAAGTGGTGCACATAGACTGGACTTCTTGCTGAAATACTCAGCATCACACTTTCGGTGGGTGTAGATTTTATGTGTGTACCGGATCCAAAGATCGCAAACAAAGAGCGGTCGTTGGCAGTGATGCAAATGGACGAAGGTCGGTCTCAAACCAAGATTCCACGAAGCATAAGACGTGCCTCACCCAGGGGTCAACGTCACGTACGAGCACCCAGAAGAATTGGAATCGTCTTCCCCCTGGCCCTCGTCCGCCATGGACCAGAGCTGCAGCCGCGTGCAGTGTCAATAGAGAGAAGAACGACAATCCTGATTGATTTTCAAACGTACGGATACCGCGGAGCCCCCTGGCTAGCTCTCAAACTGCTGTCAATTGCTCGTGCTGTCACTGGGTTGCACTAGGCAAACTCACAGCTATGCCTTTCCACTAAAGCGGCTGCTTAAGATAGACACAGAAGCGAAGAGGGGCTCTGCATTCCTGGCCCCGGAGGGTGATGCTGCGCCCTGGCTCTCGAAGAGAATCGCCGCTGCCGTTCCGCACAGCCGGGGAGAGCCCCGTTCGAACCGGCAACAACACCACCGACGCAAACGGTAACAACCCTCGCCTGGGATACCGCCACCGACAAGGCTTCCACGATGGAAGGGGCGACAGGTGGGAGTACCCTCCTCGGCGAGGAGGCGTCAGCAGGAGCACCAGCAGGAGCAGGTCTTCGATGAGCGGCGGCAGCGACCGGGATGATGCTGAAGAACCGTTCGCTGCGAAGCAGGAGGTAGCAGCACCTACGGCAGGATCATCGACTTCGTCTGTGCGGCACCAACACCAGTACTCGGCCACGGCGGCGCACGACAATGAGCTCCGAGTCAGCTGCAGCTCCGCCGCTGTCGACCGAGGGCTTGCCGGAGTTGCAGCTTCCCTGCGGTCGTCTTGGTCTACCTCGTCAGCGGTGCTTCCCCCCGTGCCCAACAGCGAGGCGGTGCCGGCGCTTCTATCCCATCTAGCAGGTGCGCACCGTACGTTGGTTGATGCCATCGACACACCGGGTGCTTTGCTTCGCAATGCATTGCTGTGTGTTGCTGGAAATGCGAAGGATGCTCCCGATCGGTTTGCGTCGTATGCTCGTATCTCTAGCTACGCGGTCATCCAGAGGCGAGATGGATTTGAACTTTGATTGTGCGTAAGATACCACACCCCCAGTGCACTTTTTTTTTTTTTTTGAATCACGACACAACGAATCCATCTCTTTCAAAGCTCTAATACAATCCTGCAGCGAAATCATTGACGGCGCCGAAAATGGCAGCACTGGACTGCACTGGAACCGTCTCGTCGAGGTCTTTCCGAAATGCATCGATTGATTTTGGCATCTTGTTCGTCGTGGAGTAACCGAGCCCTGAAAAATCGGTCCAAGGGGGTGTGTTACCTCTTCGGGAGGCTACACACAGCAGTCTACACACGGGACAGAGTAGAGGGGAAGACGGTCGAGAAGTTGGATCACTCGAGTTGCCCACCTAACGACGACCTCGCCTTCCGGTGGAAACTTCAGCTTCAATGACACCGTTCCACTCGCTCGACCGACCCGTTGTCCACGTTTCTCCAACCCCTCCGCTCTCTCTCCTCGACAGAGCTGCGATCGATGTGCAAGAGGCAACGGGAGTCGGGAAGATCGATGCGCGGGGCTCTCGTACGGAAGCAAGCCCAGCTGGATGATGCCTCCGCTGAGGCCTCTTGGCTGAGGGCCGAGCTCGGCTTCATCGTCGGTGACATGTGAGTAAACTACAACCAAAGACGCCTTCCTCTCTCTACCTTTTGAGTAGCCACAGACGCGCCTCTCTCTGCCTTGTGCGGCCGACCGCTGCCTGCCGCGTATGGCGTTGCCTGCCGCGTATGGCGTAGTCTGCAAGCAGCGCACCATGAGGCGCTCGAGGGTCAAGTCTAAGGAAACAGACAACGGGTATGGGTGAGGGGGTTGTCGCTGGACGATGCTGCCATGGCATTTGTGTAAACCGTGTGTCTACAGTAAGCAGACGTATGCTCTACAGTATTTCTCGGGAAGACAAGTTGTACGCGCGAGTCACGCGAAGAAGGAGCGGTGCTTTTTTGGGAGCTTTCCTCGCACAGAAAACTTGTTGGGACACTGCTGTCTGTATCCGTCCGTCCGTGCGCAGCAATTACTTGCTGCATTGGTTTCTGTTCTCGTGCTATTGGACTCAGCACCATTGCACGCTCCGTGGAAGAACAGTAAGGAGTCCCATATCCGCTTGCCGTTCTCTGTTGTCTGCTGTGTGCCTGGCCTTTGCTTCGCCCACAGGCTCGGCTCCCTCCAGCGCAACCCCACAGCCTTGTCCGTCTTCTCGTCGCTCTCGGAACGCATCCGCAACGACCTCGGGGCCGAAGAGGCGGCAGTCTACATCGACATCGGGGACGGTACTCTCTGGCTGCTGCCCAAGGGCAGCAGCAGCAGCGGCAGCAGCGGCAGCGGCAGCAGCGGCGGCTGCGAGCAACAAGATGAGGTAATCGGCGGCGGCGTCCACGACGAAGACGGCGATGACCGACCGGTCTTCATACAGCGAGGGGTGGGTGTGGTCGGGCTGGTGGCGATGGGAGCGTTGCCCGGGGTGGCAGCGGTGGCGGCGGGGGGTGGCGAGCGGGCGGGGGGGGTCGACGGCGGGGTGGACGTTCTCCTCCTGAACGACGGGCTGGAGGCGTTCGACAACGGCACCACGGTGGAGGCGGCGCTGTTGAGGGCTGCGCGGCGCCGAAGGAAGTCGAACGGCGGAGGAGTGGAGGGGGGGGGGGATGGCAGTACGACGAGCGGTACCGTCAGGAACATGCTCCTTGCGAGGTGAGCGACGCAGGTGTCTTGTCAGGTGACTCCACTTTTCTGCGGGCAAAATATTGGTTTTGTGCAGTCGGTGGTCGTCGAAGGTCAACGGGTAGAGGTACGACGACCTTCGCTAACCCCCCTACTGACCGCCATTGTTGTTGGGTCGGCACGGTAGTTGGACATATTTGCCGGTTCGCGAAGACAAGAAGACAAGGCCCACCAGGACGCATTCTCTGTATGCAAATGAAAACCACCCTTGTCCCCTTTTGTCCAAACGATGCACGTTTCGCCCCCGTGAAGCTGAAAATCTGATGTTTCCTGTCTCTATATTTGCTGCCGTAATTTGGCAGGGTCGGTTCCGGTATGACCTCTAACCAGCGGCGCTCCGGAGCGTCTCTCGCTGAAGCTGGGGGGGGGCATCCTCATTTGCCGGAGCCCCCGACGGCCGTGATCCAGGTGTGTGTACGCAAACTCTTGTGTCTTTCACCCGCGTTGTTTGTAACTCGAGACGAATCTTTCGTCGATGTACGTCTGGACCCCGTGCATCCGTTGCGATGCACTTGTTGGAAACTTCGCGAGGACCTTTCTTACCAAGGCAGCCCCCATGGAATAAAGCTTTGCCACGTTTGTGTGTGTGTCTCCCGGTCGTGGCGGGACAGGCTCTCAACAAGCAGGTGGCCCCGGAGCGTTTCACGGAGGGGGATGCCCGCGCCGTGCGCACCCTCGCCCCGGCGATAGCCGCGGGTTCCCGCCTCATCGTCTCGCTCCTCAACCTTTCTGGCCGGGCGGGCGGCGCTAACCCCGCGAGGGAACACGCCTCGCCGAAATTCGACTGCCCTCCGGCGACGGAACCGAGTTCCCGCGGCTGCCCGGAAGAGCTGCTGCTTCTCCGGGATGGGCTGAGACGCGCCCGGGAAGGCCTCGGTGCCGACCGCGCCCGGCTGTTCGTGCTTGACACCGACCTCGCTCCCGGAGTCGCCGTCGGTGGTGGTGGACGTTTGCGGCTTCAGCTGTGGCACGAAGACCCCGCCCGGCCTTGGTCAGTCGGCATGTCAGGGGCCCTTGGCCAGAGCGGCGGCGGCGGTTGGGGAGGGGTCAGGTTGGACGCGGGGCTTCACGGGGTCGCGGTATCGACGGGACGGGCCGCCAGGTCCGCCGATGCCCTCTCCGACCCCCTTTACGACCGGGAGCCGGACGTCAGGGAAGGGTTCCTGGCGCGGTCGGTGCTCTGCGCCCCGCTGCTGGAGCGACAGCCGCCGCCGAGCGGTGGTGACACCGCTGCCGCCGCCAAAGAAACGGATCGCGGGAGCACAGCTAGCAGCAGCGGGGGCATCGCGAGTGGGGTGCCGTTCGCAGTCCTAGAGCTAACGCTGGGCCGGAGGTCCGTACCTGTTGACGATGACGGCCGCGCCACCGAAGCTAGCATCGCACGGGGGAGCGGGTTGGGCGAAAGCGGTGGCGGCAGGACGAGGAAGGCGTTCGCCGAGGGGGACGAGGCCCTGGCGGAAGCTTTCGCGCGCGACTTGGCGGGGCTTCTGTCCGGGCTGCTCGCCGCAGGGTTTCGGCCTAGAGAGTCGGCGACTACCCTGGCCGGCGGCGGAGGGCACTTGGGTACGGCGCGTGGTGTAAGCCGCGGGTCAGCGCGTGATGGGCGTGCTTCTTGGCAACAAAGACGAGCAATACCGTCCGTAGACGACGCCTGCGACGATCATGATAGAGGCAGGTTGTTGACACGAGCTGACTTGAGACGACCAACACAGCAGGATAACGACCACGGGCAGACGGGGTTGGAAGGCGTTGAGGCTCGAGGCCGTGTAAGGGGGCAGATGGGCAGTAGCTCCACGTCGACTGCCGTCGGGGTGAGCCCTCTCGGAGCCGGGGTCCGTGCTTCCGTCGCAACTACCGGGCAGAAGTCGCCCGATGGTGATGAAGGGCCGCTACCGCCCTCCCCCGCCACCGAGGGCAGCAGCGGGTACGGGGGCGGCAGTCCAACAACAAGCCCACACGGACGGGTCGTCTCAGAAGAGCAGCGCCGAGGAGCGGCCAGCCTCGGGCGACAGCAGCAGGTGGAAGCCATCGAGGCGCGGAGCTGGGCTACCGCCCAGAGGGTACTCGAGCACTGCAAGGAGAGCCTTGCCGCTGACAAACGGCCACGGCAGCATCACCACCCCGATGGATCCGCCAACCTCGCTGTTGCCGCCGCCAGCAGCACTAGCAACAGCCACGCAGCGAGCATCGCGCCGGCCGTGCGTTCGCTCGTGTCTACGCTCTTGCCCGGCTGCACCGCGGTGCTGCTTCTGCTCGACCGCGCCACTGGACGGTTACGGGACGCCGGGTTTGAGACGGATCATCCCGACGAAGGTGGCGCGGATCGCGCGACGCCGCAGCAGCCGCCGGTGCAGCGCGAAGACGTGGCTCGCCGCGCCCTTGCATCGGGCAAGGCGCTGCTATCGAGGATGGCGGATCCTGGCGAGGCAGCCGCCGCCCCGGAGGGAGGAGGCGGCAGCAGCGACCTCAGCCGCAGGAGGATATTCTGCGTCCCGGTGTGCGGAAGCGCCGAACGCACGCACGGTGTCTTGCAGCTTTTCTTGCCGCCGCCTCCTCCTGCTGCTGCAGGGGGCAATGGTGCTGCTGCGGCCCTTGTCTCTCCTCCGTCATCGTCCCGAGGCAAAGCCGCCGTGCCTCCGTCTCCGCTCCTTCCGCCTCCCCCTCCGTCCTTCTTCATGGCCGCCAAGGTGGTGACCGATTCCGTGGGCCTCGCCCTAGGCTGGTGCGAAGCTCTCGACCGCCAGGAGAAGGCCTCCCAGGAACAGGCGGCGGCGGGCGCGAGGACGGCTGCGGCCGCGGCTGCGGCCCGAGAGCGAAGCCGCGAGGAGCTCGAGGCCAGGCACAAAGAAGAGCTCCGGCTCGCGCGGCAGTCTCACGGCGCCCGTGCCGCCGAGACCGCGGACGCTCACGCCCGCGCGGTCGCGAGCCTGCTCGAGGACAAGGAGGAGCTGGCCGCGGCGGCAGCGAGGGCGCTGGCGCTAGCGAGGGCTAGGAAGGACGGGGCCAGGGCCCTAGTCGCCTGGCGGGAAGCCTCGAGGAGGGGCCGGAAGGCCGAGGCGATAGCCGCCCGACTGCTGGAGCGGCGGCGCGGGAAGGCGCTGCGCGAGTGGAGGTCGAGGACCCTGGCTCTCCGGGCCCGCGATGGTGCGGAGGCCGCGGGTGTAGAGGCGTCGGCCAGGAGGGGGCTGCGGCGAGCGGTCGGGACGTGGACCAAGAACGTTGCCCGCCGGCGCGTCGCTGAGGAGCGGCGTCTGGCGGGAGCCCGGCTCGTGGCGGAGGTGTTGAGGAGGAGCGGGGGGCCGGTGAAGATTTGTTTCTGCGTCTGGAGGGTGGCCGCTAGAGACGCGTCGGCCGCGCAGAAGGCTCTAGCGCAGAATGAGGCAGACGAGAAACGCAGGGCGGTTGTGGATGAGGCGAGTATTCATTGTGGGGGCGTCGAGGGAGTTTCCTCCGCGGCCGGATTACTAGTGATGTTTTTTTTTGTTTGCCCGCCACCCGGGATGCACTCGCCGCGTTGCCGGTTTCGTCTTTTGTGACTTGGGTGCGTGAGGTGGTTGTGCTGTGCTCTCTCTCTCTCTCTCTCTCTCTCTCTGTATTGAGGTAGGGTGGGGGGTTGTGTCTTCCTCAACTGGTCCGCCCGCCACCGCGATAGATAGCCTTGCCTGTGGAGCGCGTGAGAAAGGTTTCGTGAGTAAGCACCGTCAGAACGAAGATTGAGCTTTTGCCGCAACTCCGTCCACCTTTCGTGAGTCACCCCCCCTCTCTCCCCTACACTACAAGTGTTGATTTGCACCCGTGGGGTGGGGAAGTGTGGCACTCTGTCGGTAAATTGTTTTCTGGTTTTTTCTTCCACTAACGCGCGTAACTACGCAAGAGTCCTGCGTGTTTCGCGAAGCTAATCTCATGTGCGAAACACGGACTCCTCTGTCAGGAATTGTCGCGTGCGGAGGCTCGGGCGCAGCTCCTGTCGGAGCGTGTTGCGGACATGTGTCGTCGCCGGCGGAACGATCGGGTAGTTCGCTCGGCGTGCCGAGCATGGCTCGGCCTAGCCCAGCAGATGGGGCAGAGGCGCGAGAACGTGCGGCTAGCGGAGTTGTGGCGGCGGCGGCAGGCCCTGAAGTCGGCGTTGACCAGGTGGGGGCTGGAAAACCGAAGCTTTGCTTTTGTGTGATGGAGTTGTCGTTTCTGCCCCTCGTTGTGCGTTTTGAGATAAGGCCGGCGTTGCTTCAGCAGCAAGCGCCCTTTGATAAGACGGCAATGGTTGCTACGCATGAGGTCGGTATGTTGCGGTGATTGGCCGTTTTCCAGGTCGCGCGTGCCCAATAGGATCACTCGGCTGTCCAATTCCCCGTCCAAACATTTTTCTCGTTTCGATGATTTCTGTTTTAGTTCACGTCCTGACCCCCCCCCCCCCCCCACCCCTTGAACAATACGTGTGCCGCACTTTTCCACCTCGGATCAGGTGGCGGGGGGTCATTGTCCCTCAAGCACAATCTATTCCGCCAGCGCTTACCGCCGAAGAGGGTCCCCCGGCCACGGGTACCGGTCCACCCGCTGTAGGCCTGACGGAGTCTGAGACAAGGGTGGAACGCGTTGGTCCGTGGGGTTCGATAGGCGAAACCCCCGTAGCCGCGGCTGTTGCGGGGGAGGCAGGAGGAGGAAGAGGTGTACCGCCGCCTGCAGGTAGTAGAGGGGGTCAGGCCTCGACGAGAGGTGGCGAGAGGTTACTCGTTAGCGGAGGCAGGGAAGGAGTCGTCCAGGCTGCCGTCGCTCACTCACCGATCCGCACAGATGCTCTCGCATCCGGCACCGGTGGCGGTAGTAGCGTACGGTCGTCGTCCGTAGCGGACAGAGCGGCCGCGTCCCCGCGTGCTGCGGAGATCACCGCCTTCCGCGACAACAACGCCACCGGGGACGGTGGCCTCGAACGCTTGCGCCTGGAAACCCTCACGGAGGCGGCCGCGGGCGGGTTCCGGCAGCAGCGAGACAGGACGTCCGCGCTGCGGCTGCTGTCAGCGTGGCGACGCGCAGCCGCCACGGAGCGCTCGAAGAGGGAGGCGCTGTCGCGCCTAGTGCGAGGAGCCCGGCGACGGCGACTGCGCGGCGGGCTCAGCCGGTGGCGGGTGGGGGCCCGGGCGGTCCGGGCCAAGGAGGAGCGGCGAGCGGCGAGGGAAGGGGCGGCAGCATCGGCGTCGAAGGCGAAGGAGGCGGTGGCGGAGGCGGCGGAGGCGGCCTCGGCGGCGGCGGCGGCCGCTAGGGGGAGGGCCGCGGCCGAGAAGCTGGCCACGGAGAGGGAGAAGGAGCTGCGGCTAGAGAAGGCCGCGGGAGAGGAGCTGCGCGAGGCCGTGGAGAGGCTGCAGACAGAGGTACGTGTGGATGCGGATAGGGGTGCATTGGTGTATGATCCGACGGGGCGCCGGAGCAAACAGGGTGCCTGCGAATTGCTCACGCTTCCAGAATTTCTCAACTTCGCTAGAGCGTGTGTATTTGACGACTTTCTGTTGACGACCAGCTCACAGAACTCGTGTTCAACCAACACAGCAGTACCAAGGGTGTGTTCGGTAGGGTACGTACCGAGGTACCGCAGGTATTTCCGCCGGTATATTCCGTACCGATCGTCTCGATACTCTTCGGTACAGCCCTCCATACCCTACCGAAAATCTCGGTACGCTCGGTACAGACATCTTCCCGACGTAAATACCAGTACCGCCACGTGACGTCACTCTCTCATTCACCACACAAATGAAAGTGCAAGCTGCTGTGCCGCATTCCGAACACATAACACTGCTGCTGCACCCTGAAACCATCTTCGACCTCCTCAATAACACCGTAACACCGACCGTGGATGACATGGACTTGGACAAGGATTATTAGTGACGGAGGGTGTGGGTGGGCGTTGCGAAATGGCCAGATTTGTAGGGTGCTGTGGTCTCAAGCCACCCGGATTGGTATCGAGCGTGTGATTGCATGGTCGCCCCCTGCGCACAGCAGCTGTGTTGTTGTGTCCGTTGTAGCCAAGCGCAACGGCTGCTTTGCGTTGGAAGAACAGCAGAGCCGCTGACATGGATGGTAGGAAGGGGCTGGCTATAGCTATAGGGCTATTCGTTTTATAGCACCGTCCAAGCTATACGCTTATATTAATTCTCATAGAGATAAAGGACAAGAAGCACTTCCGACGTTTGACTTTGTTCAGAAGGCTGAAAATCACCGTTCGTACGCATACGTACCGAGGTGTACCGCCGGTACTTCCCCCAGTATTTACCCTATCGATCGTCTCGGTTCGCACTGTACCGGTAGGCTTCCATACCCTACCGAAAATCTCGGTACACTCGGTAAAGCCCCCTATACCCTACCGAAAATTTCGGTACTCTTCCGTACAGCCCTCTATACCCTACCTAGCGTACACGTACCCCACCGAACACACCCTGGCAGCAGTACACCTTTGCACCAATTGTTTCAACCAGCACAACCTCCCCCGCCCCCCCCGGCCATCCTTCAACACCCAGGCGTCAGAAACCGCCCTCCGTGAGCAGAAAGCGGACGAACATTCGCGGGAGAGGAGCGCGCGGGCGTTTCTCCTGTCCCTCGCCGTCGCCGAGACGTTTCGCCGCGGCCGACAACGCCTCCTCGCCTCCCGGGCCCTCAAAACTCTTCGAGAGTTGGCCCGCGCCCGCCGCCTGGCCTCTTACGCGACCGCCCGCATCACGGCGCTCCGCCTCTCCCGCGCCCTGCGGTGCTGGGGCAACCGGGCTAGGCGGAGCTCCGAGCTCCGCGGCGCCGGCGCCAAGTCGGTCTTGGCCGCCCGTAGGATATCGTCGCTCCACTTGTCTAGGTGCCTGGGGTCCTGGAGGGAGGAGGCTCGGCGGGGTCGGCGACGGCGGAGCGCGGCCGTGTCGGGGGCCGAGGCCCTGTCTCGCCGGCGCCGGCGAGCGGCGATCGCGGTTTGGAAGGAGGCGTATCGTGGCCGGGAGGCCTCGGCGGCGAGGGAGGCCGCCCGGATGAGGATTTCGAGGCTGCGGCACGGGCTCGAGAGGTGGCGGAGAGCGGCGCTCGGGCGGGGGTGGCTTGACTTTGACCGGGGCGGTGGGGGCGGAGGGAGCAGGGTGTTGGCTCGGCTGGAGGGGTTGGCCGCCGCCGTGGACACGGCGAGGGGTCGAAGGCGGGCTAGGGTGGCGCTTCGCCGGTGGTCCGGGCATGCGCAGGGAGTACGGAGGAGGTCTGACGTGGAAATGTAAGCGGTCTAGTTTTGTTTTGGTGTTGGAGGGGCAAGTTTGGTGGGACAAATGGAAAGGCATGTTGACCCACCTGCATCTCTGGACACAGTAGATTGTTACCGGATGGTTTCAAGTGTACTCTGTACGCAGTAGCGCAGAACAGCGATGACAAGATTTTCGTTTTCGGTCAGTCGGCCTCGACGCTTGTGTGCGTTCGTCCACAGAGGCAAATCCGTAGCCATCGTTCAGGCTCGGAGATCACCATGCAACGAAACACAACAACCAACACAATATAACGCCAAGGTGGTGCCCGTATTATCGTTGGCCGACCTCTCTCCTCTCTCTTACTCCCTTTTTTTTTCTGGGCTCGTGTTTTTCAGGAGAGTGCAGGAAGCGTTCGTTAGCGGCAACCAGGCCGTTGCGGTGCTGCGCTGGCGAGCGATCACCTGTCTGCGGCGACGGCTTCGGCAAAGGCTTGACCGTGGCGCGGCGTGGGCGACGCTGGCCGGGGTCCGCAAGGGGTGGAAGGCGTGGCGGGATCGGGTGAGCGGGGTAATCAATATTTGCTACTTGGTCAGAGCACAACACCAAGTGTAGTATATCTTTGATATTTTTGCCATTGGAATGTTTTTTTCGCGGTTTTGGGCGGTGCCCAACCGTGAGGATGTGCAAGTACGTAGACCTTATTTTCGCCCACCTGAATACGGAACAGTGTGCGAGACGTGAGAAGCGGTTAGAGATTAAAGCGGCACCCACCCACAGAGCTTTTTCCTAAGTGTAGTATTTCGGGAATATGTATCATGTGCGTGAGTATATCAGCAGTATGGAGCATCATGCCACACGTTCCCTCTGTGTTCGATTCCCGCAACACAGCAAGATTGGCCGTCTGGGTGTAGTGGGTACCATAGAAGCCGAAATCAGACCATTTGACTAGTCAGTGCTGACTACTGTAATGGTTTAAGCGCAGGATACTGCGGTCAATGTTCGGCAGTAGTAGCAGCAGTCTGAGACCTCACGGTTACACCGCATCTCCGGACTGTTGGTGTTCGGTGTAAACTTGTTGCTAGCATTGTACATCAGTCTTATCTCTCCCCAAGGGGTCTTGTCATCTGATTGCTTGACACTTTGATATGAGAACGCTTTTCTAGAAGTTACGTTTGGTATTCTATTCTGTACATCTTCCAGAGATAAGCACATCATTGCAAGTTCGAGAACAGATGTTATGATTTGTCAGTAGCGTGGCAAGTTCGAGAACACGACCTCAGCTTTTGCCAGGAGGGTTTCTTGGCTTACCAGTACCGTATTCTGAACGCGTGTGATTGGTCGACGTTACTGCGTTAGTGTACTTCCGTGATTTCGGGGATGATCGCGCACTTGTCCCCTCTCCTCACTCCACATCAGCACCATCAAAACCTGACCCGGGAGTCAGTCAGTAATCAACATATTTCTTTGTTCTTCGTTCCGAGGCACACATCAAGTTGCAACCACACTCGAAGCGTAACCTCTGTGGTAGGCTGCTGTACCAAGCACAGCCTACGAAGCGACCGCAGCGTGCGGCACACACCCACTGCTGCTGAGACGCTGATGGTCACCGATAGGTTATGAGCCTCGCAAAACGCGTACATTTCGAGCTGTGGACATGACGACGAGATCGGCAACCGGACCTCCCGCTGCGCCAGACTTCTGTGGTTCGGACTGCGGAGAAGATACCGGACAACCGTTGGTTGCGGTTCGAACAGTTCGGATTTCGATTCGGAGATCATCAAGAAGATACGAGATGGAGCCAGGACAGATACGTTCGACTGAGGAAGACACGTAAGCGGAACACGGTCTCACTCACACACACAAGGCCTTCACAACACACACCAAATTGGGCAGTGGGAGGAGCTCCTTTAGTGCTGGCATAACTCTACATCTGCCGGAGAAAAAAAGCTCGCACATCGAGCAGACAACTAACTGCCGTATCAACAACAGCAGGGACGGTCCACACCGTAGTCCTGTACACCCATCCGCGAGGAAAGGTAACAGGAGCAGGGCCGGGAAAAGACGACCTACAACCGTAGTCCTATACGCCGATCCGAGAGGAGAGGGTAGCAGGAGCGGGGTCGGGATGGTCCACACCGTAGTCCTATAAACCCATCCGCGAGGAAAGGGTAACAGGAGCGGGGCCGCGGGAAAAGACGACCTAAAACCGTATTCCTTTTGAGCAGAAGCGGGGTCGGGAAGTCTCGGGTTCACACCACGAGCAAACAACTTCTCCTGCAACTGGAGGGACTGCTGCAACAGCAGGGAAAACCAGCATCGTCCTGTACACCACATGGCAACAGGAACGCATCGCGATAGGAAAAGACACATCAAGATGGGTGATAACTCTCTCAGCGACAACACCACAAACCTCGCCAACACTATTCGAGGGCTGAAGAAACCCGACGGAAGGAATGCGGCCGAATTTAAAAATTGGATGAAGAGGCTCTTGTATCGTGCGGGCACTGCTCTTCAGCTAACGACAGGAAGGAACCAGCCACTGCGAAGGAGGCGAGTGGCACGAAGACGCCATTGATTTTAGCGCGGAAGGCGACGAGTCAGACGAAGGGTTCATGTACGCCACCACTCACAAAGGAAGTCATGGCCAATTCTGAGAGAGCCACTCTACTCGTCGACATCGGAGCAACGGAGAGCATGCTCGACGACCGTCTCATCCCACACTTGAAGGAGAAAATGTGGGAGTACAAAGAACTCGCGAAGCCGAAGGCGATCACGGTTGCCGGTGACCATCACCTGAAAGGGACAGCGACGGGACTCGTCGTCCACTGCTCCGTTGAGGATAGCTACGGCGGAACAGGCTGTGTGCCTTGGAGGACTGGTCGTCCCCGGCCTCGGACACAACATCTTCTCGCCTACTGCCCAGATGAAGGACGGTGTCAGGCTTGTCGTAGAGGCAGGCAATCTCACCTAGAAGTACGAGAATATATCATACCGCCGAAGCAGGACCCGCGTGATGTGGTCACGTGCTCCCCGAACATAGAGTTGTAAGCCGCCTCCAAGCGAAAGGAAGCATCGATGATGACAACACCTCACGCCTTCCCGGAAGATCGGGCGTTCGGCAAGCCGGACACTGTAGCGGGTGACGATGACCTAGGGGTCGCATACGCCGCCACGGTTAACGCGAACACTTGACACCGGAGACGTGGGCATCTGAACTTCCGGAGTCTGGAACTACTGCGCAAGAAGGAGGGTAATGGGGTCGACTTCCTGGATTCCATGTCACCATGCGACAATTGCTCCATCACAAGAACAGGCAGCTAGCGCACCCGAAGAAGACTACACGCAAGACGACGGCGCCTATGAAACTGGTGACACCGACAACATGGGGCAGATCACTCCGCCTGCGAAAGGGGGCTTCCGTTACGTCTCCAAATTCACCGACGCCTTCACGCGGATGAAGGAAACTACCTGCTTAGGGCCAAGTCCAAGTCCGCTCGAGTCCTTCACGCCTACAACATGCACATGGCTGCTCCGCTAGGCCACCGCATCGAGATCATTCGGTGCGACAGAGGAGGGGAAAACGTCGGAAGCGAGTTCACCACTTACTGCACCGACTCCGGCATCACTGTCGAATACACCGCGACGAACACGCCTCAGCAATAGGCGTATCCGAACGAGACGGACAAACTTGGGCGACAATCACGCGTTGCCTCATGAAGGACGGAGCCTTCCCACCTACCCTGTGGGGAGAACTAGTGCTGACGGCGGTGTACCTCTCCAACCGGTTGCCCCATACAGCCCTTGGAGGAGTAACTCCGTACTTCAAAATGTACGGCAAAGAAGCGGACCTGTCAAACCTTCGAGTCGTCGGAGCCAGAGCCTTCGTGCACCACGAGCGATACACTAAAAAGTTGAGCGACCGCGCGTTCGAAGGCAAACTCTGCGGCTTCAGGCAAGACAGTAAGGCCTACAGGATCTACAACCCTGCAACCGACAAGGTAGTGGAGAGCAGAAACGTTACCTTTGTTGAAACGCCGGCGTACTCCATGCCTCTCGGCGTGCCCGATGGCGACCGCTTCTACGACGGAGACGTCCTGAGCTTCACACATCCCTTCTTCGGGGGATATCCACTACAGAGGACACTTTCGATGGATTGGGCGCTCTCGACACCGTCGACTACCAGGCCGAGAACTAACTTCTCCGGCAAGAGATCCGCCGGATGCGACACAACAACGTGATTCGCGAGGAGCTGCAGACACAATCTGTCCACATTGGAAACGACACTGCACCCAGCCCGCCGAGGCGCCTCAGGTCACGCCATCCGGAGACACACCGGATGCCGAACAGGGGGGAATCGAAATCGGGGGTCAGCCGAGACCAGCACATGGGATATCGCGGCCGCTTGAAGTGACCCGCGCTGCCACCAGGAAGAGGCCGAACGCCTCCGACATCGTTGACGCCGCCCTTGCCCCCAGCTCTCTGGAGATCAACATGGACGACAGCGGAGGTGGATGTATGGCGGCCGCCTCGATGCGGCCCGACCCGAGTGCTCTAACGCCTGGCCAGCAGTTGGACATCGCCAGAAAGACCAACCACGATCACGCCAGCACGTCTCCAGATTAAGAAGCACTCCCGAAATCGCGGGCCTACGTGTACGCCAAGGCACCGCGATCCCGCAAGGGTTCTTGGAGGAGGAGCATAGAGCCATCCAAATCCCCAACACCTTCAAATAAGCCATCAACTCGCCGGAGGCAAAGCAGTGGAAGGCAGCTATCGGAAAGGAGTTGGACAGTCTGGCGAAACACAAGGTCTGCAAGTTGGTCCCAATCACCAGCATTCCCAAGTACAAGAAGATCCTCGGCACAAGGTTCGTCTTCAAACGAAAGGCGGACAGAAGATTCAAGGTCAGGCTGGTGGTTCAAGGCCATGTACAAGAAATTGGTATCGACTACGGGAGGAGCTACACACCGGTGTGCCGCATCGGGAGCGTTCCCACCTTACTCGCCATAGCATGCGAACACGGATGGCCAGTATGGTAGATAGACGCAGCCGTGGCGTCTCTGCAGTCAACGATCGACAAGGACGTGTGGATCAAGCCCGCCCCAGGACAAGACGCAAAGAACCCCGCGACTGGGGAGATCATGGTCTACAAGTCGAACGCAGCCTCTATGGGCTCGCGCAGTCGCCAGTCCTCTGGTACGACACCATCGACGAAGTACTGGTGCTGATCGAATTCACGCCCACGCAGTCCGACCCCTGCGTTTACATACACCGATGCCGTCGACGACATCCTGATCAGCGGAAAGGACCTCGCGCTCGTCGCCGACCTGAAGAAAAAGCTCCAAGACCGCTTCGAAATGGCAGACATTGGAGAAGTCCGTCTCATCCTTGGCATGGAAGTCACGCTAGTCGTCTCGCAGAAGGGCTACGTCAAAAGCATTCTGGAGAGGTTCGGCATGGAGAACTGCAACCCCGTCAGCAGTCCAGGATACGGACCACAACTCTCGACAGGTCAGCCAGAGAATAAGCTACTCGGAGCAGCCGAGTCCAAAGCTATACCAGTCCATCACAGGCAGCCTGCGTAACCTGGCTCAATGCACAAGGTATGACCTGTGGTACGCGGTCAACCAACTGACGAGGGCATGCAGCAAGTCTGCTCGGGCCCACATGACGGCGGCAAAACACGCGCTTCAGTACCTTCGCGGAACGCCAGACTTACCCATCATATTCAAGCGAGAACAATTCCGCATTGCGGCGTTCGCCGACGCTTCTTTCGGAGCTAACCCAGACAACAGGATGTCCAACACAAGATACCTGTTCTTCGTGGGAGGAGGCCTCATCAGCTTCGGAGCCAAGACACAGTCACTGACGGCACAGTCTACAGTGAAGAGCGAGCTACAAGCATTCATCTACGGAGCAAAGGAGGCCGTATCTCTCTAACCTTCTAATGGAACTCAAGTTCAGCTCGCGGACCAAGTACATCGCTCTGCGGTTCTTCTTTCTTCCGGAATTGGTCAAGCGGTGCCGCATCACGGTTCACCACGTCCCGACGCCGGCCATGCTTGCTGACATAGCCACTAAGCACTTGGACCGAAACAAGTTCAACTCCATCCTCCAACAAATCAAGGACTTCGGGTGCTAGGGATCGGGGGCAACGGTCAGCAACCGGCCGGATCAACATCAGCCGGGTTAGGGATTGTTCCCGAGACATTTTGATTTGGGACCTGAAATATCCGATGTTCGCGTTTGTCCGAATCTGAGGAAGACGACGAAATCATATAGAATCTCGTCCAAACGATGGAAAATAGATTCATACGTAGCACGGCAGAGCATATTAATACGTAGTACGGCAGAAAATAGCTGATACATCAAGATGACAGCTTGAACAACTTGTCTTCAGGAGTTTTGACTCTCCTGCATGGTAGCACGGGAGGTTTGCTGAGGCAAGGTTGAGTGTGCCAGACATACGAATGCGTCGATCTGAGATTTTTAGCAAGTAGCCCCAAAATCTCGGAATGAATTATATGCATAGGTACAATTGTGCGTTGTGAGAGTGCGTGTAGGTCTTAATATTTCTTCTTGCCGTCTTACTTGATCGAGGGGTCGTGTCGGGGATATGCATCACGCGCACCAGTCAAATATTCCCTCTGTATTCAATTGCAGCAACACAGCAAGATTGGCCGTCTGTGTGTACGTGCACACACACACACACACATCTTGTCATCTGATTGGTTGGCATTTTGGTATGAGAACACTTTTCTAGAAGTTACGTTTGGTATTCATTCCGTACATCTTCCAGAGATAAATGCATCATTGCAAGTTCGAGAACATGATGTCATGATTTGTCAGTAGCGTGGCAAGTTCGAGAACACGACGTCAGCTTTTGCCAGGAGGGTTTCTTGGCTTACCAGTACCGTATTCTGAACGCGTGTGATTGGTCGACGTTGCTGCGTTAGTGTACTTTCATTATTTCGAGGATGAATCCTCACTCCACATCAGCACCATCAAAACCTGACCCGGGAGTCAGTTAGTATTCAACATCTTTCTTTGTTTCCTCGTTCCGAGGCACACATCAAGTTGCAACCGCACTCGAAGTGTAACATTCGTGGTAGGCTGCTGTTGTACCAAGCACAGCCTACGAAGCGACCGCAGCATGCAGCACACACCCACTGCTGCTGAGACGCTTCTGAGGGGATGGATTGACAACGTTAGGGCCTTTCCCCACTCCGCGCTGCTGTTGCTTGCTGTTTTGCGTGTCTCAAGGTCCATCAAAATCGTGTTGCTGCAAGGAGAAAAGCGAAGGTGCTCGCGGCAGCCCCGACGCAGGACCTGAACGTTGCGGTCGGTCCCGCTCGCCTCGCTCTCGGACCTTCGGAAACGGTGGAGATTGCGGGCGGACACGACAAGCCTGGGCCGTCTCCCGTGGCCACCTCATCGTTGTCGCGGACAGAAGAAGAACGGCCAACTGCCAGTAATGACGTTCCCCCCGATGGTTCACGGGGTGGTGATGCTGCTGCCCGGCATTCGATTCCCTCCTCCTCAACGCAGCAGCAAACGCCTGCGGTAGTACAACAGCCTCCCGGTCGACCCGAAAACGACGGGGCACAATCTGGGCGGGAGTGGGTTCCGCGGCCGCCGCTCGAGAGCGGCCAAGGCACCGGCGGCGACGGCACGGCCACCGCCACCGCCGACACCGCCGACAATAGCGGTGGTACCAGGGATCTGCTGAATCTATTGATGGACGTGTGCGCGGCTCCCCCCCCGTACTCTCTAGGGTCGGGCGTCGCGGCTCTCGGCCACGACGCCTGCACGGTGGCCATGCGGACGTTCGGCCTCCTCTCGGCCTCCCTGTTCGAGGTCGTCGGGAACTCGCCGGCCATGGCCGTGCGCGTGGCGGCCGTGCGGGCCGGAGAGACCGGCAACAACGCAAGCGACTCCGGAGCCGCCGCCGGCCCGGAGTCGTCGGCAGCGGCAGCGGCGGCGGCGGCGCTGGCCGAGTTCGAGGTACCCCACAGCGAGCACCTCGGGGACGGCACTGTGGGGGTCGCAGCCCAATCGGCGAGGCCCGTCTGCATCGAGGTAGTCTGCCCTACGGCTGAGCGGCGGGGCTTTAACGGTGGGCGCGAGGGGACGGCGGCAGTGGCAAGCTCGCCCGACCCGTGCGGGGCGTCATCGACGGTCCTGTGCATTCCGGTCATGCTGCAGGCGGCGCCGCTGCCGAAAGTGGCCACGACGCCAGCGACGGGGTTCGTGGGCGCTCCTCCGCCGGCGCTGGGTGGATCGACGATTCCCGGCGTAGAAGTCGTAGGGGTCTTGCGAGCAGCGCGTTCCGGCACCGGGTCTTTCGCGGGCGACGACGCTCGTGCCCTGTCGGCGTTCTCCGGGCAGCTGGCGCTCGCGATGGTGGCGGAGCGGGCGGTGGCGGAGAGCCGCGCGGGGGCGGTCGCAAAGGCCTCCAGGGAGGCACGGTCGCTCCGCCGCCAGGCCTGCCGAAAGGTGGCCACGCTGTTCACGGAGAGGGCGGTGGCCGGGGCCCTCCTTCGCCACACGAGGGTCCCCGGGGGGGTAACCACGACCAAAGTCGCTCCTTCTTCGGGTGGGGCGGCGGCGGCGGCGGTGGACGGGCGGCGGAGGGGCGGGGACGACAAGGAGGAGTTGTGGAGAAGCGTTGCCGGGATTGCGGCGAGGGCGCTGGGGTGTGAGCGGGTCGACCTCCTCCGCGTGACGTCATTTTCCGACGGTGGCGGCGGCGGCACCGCACCGGCAGACCTCCTGTCGTCGCGCCGTCCCCCCTCGCGCTCGTTCAGGAGGCGTTCTAGGGAAGCACTGCTGGCGGCGCGGGCTTCTTCTTCTGCTGCTGCTTCTGTGGCCAGTATGAGCGGTGAAGGCCGGGGTGGTGGGAGTGAGGGGCCGGACGCGGCTATAGGGAGCTGGCTGTGTGTCCCTGTGTTGAGCCTCCCGTCGTCGCGGGCGGAGGACGGTGGTGACGGGGCGGTGACGGTGTGCTGCGCGGTGAACAAGAAGAACGGTCGAAGCTTCGGTGACGTGGACGAGGTATGTACTGGGTGCCGTTCGATCTTTTCTGATTTTTTTTTCGTGGTTTGCTTGTATGCGTGCTTCTTTTCGACATAGTCTACATAGATGTGTCGTTCTCGTTTTGGTTTTTGTCTGAATTGGTTGCGCAGCTCCGCAACAATCGCAGATGTCCAGCGCTTCTTTTGGAACTTGGGGACCCCTCTCTCCGCGGGTTTGTTACGTGATCCGGGTACTGTGTTTTACTCTACACGAAAGCCCTCTCGTTTGTCGGCCTCTAGGCTTACAGTTCTCGTCACCGCTCTACGAGTTTCTGTTGTCAATGGTTTTGTTGTACTCGACAAAACTACAGCCCCGGGCACTACTCGTAGCCCCGCACACACTCACTCCTACAGTAGTAAAGCTTTGCCGCATTTCGCTTTCTTTACCTTCGCGCTTGTTGAGCCCAAGAAGAGGACGCCGGGCTTGATGCCCGCCAGGCACGTGCAGCAAGGCGATGGGTTGGACAGGATAGAGATCTTAAACTTTGAGCCCTTCACTAGTGTTATTCTGGTAGTATAACCCGCGAAGGTTGCCCACGGCCGTGCCACGTTAGCGTTGTCTCACTCAAGGGCAACGCACCGGCCGATAGCCTTACCGAGGAGAAAAATCGGCGCGAGGCTTGCGCTTTCGCGGCAGACGTGGCGGTTGCGCGACGTCGTCTTCAGTGTATGCGCGGGAGCGGGAGCTGAGTGCTGCTGAGAGTGAGCGTGTTCGCAGCTGCTGTGGAGCGAGTGTGTGCGGGGGGCACGAGAGGGAGAGAAGAGAAAGCTTCGCACGGGGCAGAGAATAGGAACTCGCGGATATGCACCGGGATTCAAATGCAGTCTAATATCAAACGAAATGACGTGGATGTAATGGTGGCCTGTCAGGGTTCCAATAATCGGAAATTTGGCCTGTGCGCATTCCACACGGAAACAGAAATCTGGCGCCTGCTGTACTCTGAGCGGAAAGACAACTGACATAGACAACTGACATGAATCTTCTCTTACCACAGCTGTATGAGTAGTCATATCCTTGTCGGCGATAGTGGAAAAGGGCATTCCTTTCAGTAACCCGTTACACTTCGATGGTGTCGTTGTTGAGACATGTTGTAAGGGTCACATGCTTGCCGTGTCGTACGATGTTTTCCTCTATGACTGCGCGACTTCCTCCACCTATGCTAACAACCTTCCGTTCGATGGGACCTGCTTCTGCGTGCTTCTCTTTGGACGACGACCACACTAGGCCATGCTCGGCACGATCGCGGCCTTGTACGCCGTTGCCGCCTCATGGCTACCGCCACCATCGCTACCGCCGACTGCGGAAAGCTCGGACCACAACAACAACCACGACGACGATGAGCAAACCGGCACGAGTCCCGCCGCCTTTCCCGGCTGGCCAGAAGCAACGGCGACGGTGGAACCCACGCCACGTGCAGCGATGCGAGAGCTCCGACAACCCGACGGGTCTTCCTCGCCATCGCTGGCAGCACCACCATTACCAGCACAAGCACAACCAGCCGCAGCAGCACCAGCAGTCGGACCACAGCAAGAGTGGTCTCGACGCTTCGGCTCTTCCAGGCCGGAGCCGCGGCTGCTGGACGAAGACAACGGCGACCGAGATAGCCGGCGGTCACCGACGGCTTTTGGCGGAGAGCAGCAGCAGCAGCCCCCTCCTCCGGAGGACGCTTTTTCTGGAGAAGGACGCCGAGATGAAGCAGGAGACAAGAGGAGAAGCGGCAGCGGCGGCGGTGGTAGCGGCGACGGGAAGATCGTGAGCAGTAACAGCGGGAACGAGGCGTCTCTGGCGATCCACCGCGCAGCGGAGGCGAACGTCGAGCTCCGGGAGCGCGCGGAGCGCGCGGAGAGGATGCTGGCGACGACGAGGACGCGCCTGTGCAGGGCGCTCGAGGAAGGCGGCGGCGGCGCCACGGCCGCGACAAGCGACCAGAGCCTCAGCAACGGCAGCAGCGTTGGCAGCGTTAGCGGCAGCAGCGCTAGCGGCAGCAGCGCTAGCGGCAGCAGCGCTAGCGGCAGCAGCGCTAGCAGCAAAGCTAGAAGCAGCAGCGGCGTTAACGATTGTAGCGTCCTTGGCGCGAGGAAGCGCGGGGATGACTCCGGCTGGAGGGGCGGCGGGCGTCCTCGCGGCCGGGGGAGGACGGAAGCCAGGAAAGAGGGGGCGCCGGGGTGGCGGCAGCGAACCTCACCACCCCCAAGGAGCAACGTGCCCGCGTCTTCCTCCGACACGTGGGAGGGAGAGAGTCACTACCACAGCGACGATACCGGGGATCGGCGGCAGCTGGTTCGGGATGAGGAGGCGCAGTCGCCGGAGGTGGCCGGAAGACAGCAGGGCGATCGGCAGCGGCGGCGACGAAGGAGGCACTCTTCGAGCGCGGCGGGAACCTCCAGCAGGGTCAAGTGGCACGGGACACAGGAGGAGGAAGGAGGAGGAGTTGGCTTTGGAACGAGGCGGTCGCGAGTACGGCGGCGGCAGCAGCAGCAGCAACTGCGCGCGAGCGACGTGGCGCGAATGCGACAGGTAGTAGAGCGGCTCAGGGTCGCCACCTACGAGCTGGAGGCGGAACGTGCTGGCCGGGCGGATGCACCGGCTAGGGCAGGAGAAGGGGCCGAAGCCTCGCTGCCTCCTCCTGCTAAGCGCAGCAGCGGCGTCGTTCATGAACGTGGTGTCACCCAGCAGCCGCCCCCGACGATGCCGCCAAACGTAGCGGGTAGAGACGGAGGAATACCGATGGCGGCGGCGGCGGCGGCTGCGGAGAGGGAGCAGGAGGCTGCCGCCCTCGTGCGAGAAAACGCGAATCTTCGGCGGAGACTGTTCGGGCTGGTGATGTTGGAGGAGCTCGAGGGGAGAGCCGTGAGGGAAGGCTTGCTGCCGTTGACGGGAGGCGGGGGGGTTGCCGAGGACATGTTTCCGTCCGATAAATAGCTGACTTCTCGTAAGGGCTGGAGTCAACGCGATGCAAAGACATTCATGTTTGGAAACGTTTGGCATGGCACGCAGAGTGACACTGAAGCTTGTTTTGAGTCCTGCGCACTGGTGGTCACGAGAAGGGGGGCACGTGTGTAGGTGGTAGACTGCATTGATTGGTGCCTTTCGATCACACGCCCTTGGGAGGGGATGCGCGACCGCCCGAGTAGCAAGTGCATTTTGTTGGCCCTTCCTGAGGATCGCACATTTAGCCGTGTCGACAGACACCTCCCCCCCCCGGGCCGAACCTTGTACACTCTGTAGACTCCATTCCACAATGAGGTCACTCGTGAGATTTTTACGTTGTAAAGGCTTGGCAATTTTGCCGTGGTCGAATAATTGTAAACAAGCGCACCACCGGAGGCGGCACCCAAAACCCCAAGCACCCTAGCGTACAAAAACTACAGAGAGTAGTGTGTTGGTCGTATCTAAACCGTCCAGAGTTCTACTCAGAAATATCCTCGTGCTGGTCCAATTAACACGGCGGGCTACAGAACGACCCCCGTGATATATATATGTAGGTTACATTGATGGGCGCGTGTAAGCGATACAATGTATATGGCTACGCTGAACCATCGCACGTATATTTTGCTGGCACGCCCTCTGACTGGTTTGTGGTTTGTAATTATCGCACCCAGATCTTTGGGCGGTGACGGTGTAACTGCTGTCGGGTAGGATGTAGCATAAGAAAGATACCAACGTATGTGTGTGACACAAAATATCACACCAATTTTTAAGAGCTCGAATACTCCACATGCAGAGGGGGTGGCGGTGCCGAACATAGTGGCGTTGGAGCCGTCGTATCGACAGCTTCCCGAAAACGTTGTAATTTGACTGTTTTATCCTCTCCGTCGTGGAGTAATCGAGTAGGATAACAAAAACGGTCGAAAACGGTCGCGATATCTTACGCGTACAGGCCGTCACCTGTGAAAACGCTGTATCTCTGAGACTGCTGCTGCTGCTGCCGCGGTAATTTGTCAGCCACTCACTGCGGTACACAACAACTACAATCATGCCTGTTCGTTTGTTGCATGCGTTGTGCATTCCACGGGAATATCAACAATGAGGGGGTTGGTTTACTTGGTGTTGATGGTGTGTTGTACATGGATTATTAAGGAAAAATAAATACACGCACAGAAAGACTACCCATTCGAGGTACCCACAGCAGTCGATTATGTTGCAGGGGTGTATGTTGCAGCGGTGTGTTGGTGATTTAGCACCTGCTGGCATCACTACAAGAATTTTCGATGTACTTTTGTATAGACTCAAAATAAGCCCAATCAGCCCAGCCGGTTTCCCTCCATTGACTGCAAAGACTCCAACACATCCCGTTCGACTACTGCTGTGGTTGTATCTCGAATTGGTAGTGTCTCTCTGTGTTTGTATTTATTTTTCCTAATACAGGTATACAATATACAATCCCAAGGTTGAACCGGGCAGCTGTTGTTGTAGTTGTTGTTGTCGCGCCTCCGTCAGTTGAACGTCATTGGCCGATCTACAACGCTGTAGTTGATGTTTGGGGTTGAACAGACCGACCACCTGGACACAATATTTATTCGCATTTTCGCCGCTCACGTGTGCCGCTACATCTCACACCACACCAGCAGCTCTCATCACATTTCGAAAACCCTCCTCTTCTGTCAAGGAGAACCCAAGAGGATGAACATGCACACGACGGCGGTGCTGGTGGCGCTCACAGCAGTACTGTCGGGAGGAGCGGAGGCATGGTTCACGGCGGGGGGTGTGAGTAGCAGAGCGCCGAGACCTAGCTCTTGGAGCACCTCGGGGGAGGGCAAGACGACCATGGCACGGCATCGCCGCGGCGGCGCCGGCATGATGAGCTCCACCGTGCCACCCCAGCTTCCTGACGTGAACCAGAACTTATCCGGGGGGGACTTTGACAAGTGAGGACACCTTGGGGAAAGTCGGCGGGGGGGGGGGGGGGGGGAAAGTTTTGGTGAAGGCTTGAAACTTTTCCGCTGGTGGAAAAACGGGAAAAGGGGGGGGCCAAGGGAGCAAAAAAATATGTGCTTAATGGAGGGTTTTATGCCCCCGGGATCCCCTGGGTCTACCGCACCAACTGCTGCGCCCGTTTGGGCCTGCTGGGGGGGGAAAAAAAAATTTGCCCCGGGAAGATGGTCCCCAGGGAAACATTCCAAGGAAGTTATCCAAAGAATCGGGAATATTCTACACAGATTTGCCCCCAACGGGCCAATTTTTCCCGCGAAGATGCGTACCCTCCCCATCAAGAAAAAGGCCACCCCCTCCTTGAAAAAGATCGGCGTAACGGGCGGCCATCTGTCCGCCGGCCAAAATGCTGCCACGTGGGTTCCATCTGCCCCCGGGGCGTGCCTGCCTCCCCCCGACCCCCCCAAAAGTGC